GCATAAAAGAAACAAAACAAAAAGAAAAGCCATGCACCGTGGTGTACACCACATGCACTAAGGCATGTGGCATATAGCCATGAGCTTTTCCTTTTATTGTCATTTAATAGTTCATGACAGTAAACTTCTAGCTTGCTAATAAGATAAGTTTAGACATGAACCCATTGTTCAATCTAAATTTGGACACTCGAGTGTAAAAATTTTTTTTTTTGAAAATTCAAGCACTAAAGCATTCAAATTGCATGCTTTGTCTCATTAGGCTGTTTTAGGCCTAGAACCAAATTCGAAAGGACCATTTATGCCTAATTTGTAATGTCTGCCTTGACATTACTAGGACAAAACTCCATTGTGATAAACATGATTAATTAAAATTCTAAAAAAAAGTTATCATAACCTAAGAGTTTAACTAAGTAGTTTAAAATATTAGGATCTTAAGAAAATCCTTTTTCAAAACTCATTTGAGCTCCAACCGTAGTTTAAAACAACTTAAAAAAGGTAATGGAAGCATGGAAACACATAACAGCACTTAAAAGCACAATTAGAGCAATCTAGAAAATTTTAGAATTTGCACCATCTGTCGCAATGCAAGCCTTACTCAACGTGATGAATGGCAAAGAAAGCCAAGGCTCTTGCTATGAATGTGCTGCTGTGCAACTATCATGTGCCACGATATGTACCTATTGTTATGACAGCACTTTGGGCCAAGTTTCAGAACATGCCATTTCATTATTCGATGTTCGATTTGAGCAGTTCAAGTATCCATACGTAGCTCTTCGAGCCCTCTAGCTATTAGCACTAGTCTCACACCTAAATTCTCAACCATTAAAAAGCTAGACATCCAAACCCAAAATTGTCTATTTTCACCACATACTGCACTCAAGGGTGTCCAAATCACATAACCTAATGCCAATAACTCTGAAACCACTTGGACCAACTTAAATGGGCCACATACAACTTAATAGGCCAATTAAATCACAACAATAATAGTCCAACCACCAAATGACCATCAAATCCCCCATTTCAAAAGTGAATTCAAAGGGGACAAATTAATCTCAATGTCATACAAGGGTCATTTTCACACATATAACATTACCATAACATCACTTGTATTAATATCTTAGCCTTTTCACAATCATTAAACCACAAGTACATCAATTAGGCCAAGATACACATATATTCCATAAATTTTCATACAAGTGATACAAATACAAAACATAACATATTAGTTACAAAACCAAAACATGAAAGGAAAGAGCTATACAAACAAAGCTATTCACTCTTCGATCGTTCCTTCCTTCCCTTTTCCCCTATAAAATATAGCCACAGGTTAGATAAACATCTCAATAACAAAATAATTAACCACTATTAATTAACAAGCTCAACTATAAGCGAGTAAGGCTCATACAGGTAAAAATACTTGTTTAGCATATTCAAACATATCATTTCTAAAAACACAAGTCATCTCTACTCTAGCATGATCATTATACCATCCAAGCCTCTATATCACCTAGACTGAAACCATAGGCTCTTGGACCCAGAATACATTCACGATAGCCCAAGCTCACCTTTGACGGTAGGATCACCTACTAAAGGATGTCTTATCCTACCTTCAAACCATATTTTTCCTCTATCACATATGAATTGGGGTGTCGCTATTCTAACCCTACATCACTGATGTTAAGGAGTGTCAATCTCCAATGCCATATCGCACATAGATACTAAAGAGATAATCTCCAACACTGTACTTTACTAAGCACTAAAGAAATATATGCCATATAGACTTCCATTATTCCTTCCTACAGGTAAATTTCCAACCCTTATCATGATCATGCTTACACTTCTCATACAAAGTGCATACTTGTATGAAACCATGATTTACTCATATAAGGGACTTTCACAAATTTTTATCGTTATGAAATAATTTCAAGTGCACAAAAATCACTTTTTGCAATATGCCATGCTCAAAAACACATGTAAACAATTTATATATCTATTCATGGATAGTTAAGCACTTTAATCAAATAGTATAAATTATTTTATTACCTCAACTCTTTTGTTACAAAAAGGATTACCATGGCCTAACATTTTCTCCACACATTTAACTCACACAACCACACTTGAGCAACACTTAATCTACACAATGAATTGATTATTGTCAATTATTACTCTAATTACACCTCAAAATCATTAGATTTTGAATATCCATTACACTTAAAAATTTATTTAACAATATCAACCTTTCTAACACACTCTAACAATCCTATTTAACATCCAGACACACCAATATCACCAACCATCAACCCACATTATTTCAAAACTCTCAATTTGTACTTAGGGTTCGTTTAAACCCTAACTAAAAATTCTAAATCCATATAAAACCCATAAACCTAAGGTTAAAGGCTTGATTTAACTCTCCAATATGTTAACTGAGTTAATGGGTTTGTCTAAACTCAAGAAAACCAAAATCATAGAATCCATTACCTTAAAAAGTCATAAATTTTGCACAAATGGGAAAGAGAGGGAACATGAAACTTATCCAAGGGTGAATCTTGCTCAAGATGCTTCCAAATTGATCTCAAGGTTGTGCCTTAGCAGCCATGAGTCCGTCCTCCATCTCGCCTTCACTTTATCCCACTTCTAATTTTTGGTCTGATTTTGCAAGTCTGATAAATGCAAATTTTCCATATGCACCATGGCACATTGGTGCGTCCACCGCGACATATGGTATAGAGATTCCCACACATGTTTTGGGTCTCTCTCCATGCCATGGCTAGCTCAAACATCAACCTTATCCTCTTCTAAGGCTGTCCAATAATCCATTAAGCACATTAATCTTTCTAAAAATGTTATTAATCTAAAATTCACTTGAAATACCATTCTACCCTTATAAACACTTAAAATCCCCATACTTGAGATCTAGGATTTTACATGATTGACCAACAATACAATCATATATACACATATATAAAGATTTGGCTATGAAATCACTCATTTTTTAACAATAGGGCATATTTTTCACAAAGTTTAACAAGGACAACCACTTGGTTATTCAATCCACAATTTCATGACAAATTCACTACTACAAACATATTCATATTTTTATATAACATAATTCTAACCTCAAATCACTTTTAATCACAATTGGGCTAAGATTTACTAATTCACCACCTATTCACTATATAATCACCATTTACATATTCATAACACATTCACAATCAAATTTTAGCTCATTATCATATATTTCACTACATGCATCACATTTTTACACACATATGGCTAAAATTCTCAAAATTAATGTCACAACTAATCACAAGCATATGAATCCCATAGCAACTTAAATCATTTTCAATATTCAACAAAATAGATTCATTACACAAACTCTTTACCACATGGCAATAGCGCTACTACACTGGTCATATAAAGAAGGTAATTTTGTCATATAAAGATCATCTAAATATTAAAATGGCTATAATGCAAAATATAACAAATGTTAGGCTATTTATTGAGGTTGGTTTTATAAAATGGGCTATACATGTAAAAGTCCTAATAAAAAAATATGGTACAATGATATTATAAAAATATAATATAAAAAAATATAAATAGTTCGTTCCCTCGATAGCAAAGATTATCTACCAAGGGATAAAAAAAGTAGACTTCTCCCAACTAAATTGGGCCATATATAAAATTTGGGATTTGATTCCCTACCCATTGTTTATGAAGTCAATAAAACTTACATAAACTTTAATTAGTGTAGTATAAATGTAAGTGATTCATATAACAACTTGTCAATTTTTACAAATTGTTATTCTTGTCATACTAAAATATAAATATTGTATTTTATTTCTAAACCAATTACATGCAAAGATTAAAAGGTCATTCAAAAATTGCATAAATAAAAAATACTTATATATATATATATATATTATATAAAAATACAATTTATTTTTTGAAAATCATAAACAGGCATGCTTGAATTTTTTTAAGCAAGGTAAAAAATGTAATTAAAAAACACATTACATTTTGGGAAAAAAATTGATGACTGATTGATGGGCCAAGCCCAATCCTAGCATTAATTTGGAGTGTAAACATTTTACTTTATAATATATACCTAAGATTTGATGGTCAAAATATATAAATATATATACTCCTTAAATTTTTAATATATGTATACACACACTTACTATATCTATTTTTATATATAAAATATTTTTTAAATTTTTTTATTTTTAATTATAAGATATTGTTAGCATATTTTTTAATGAATGGACTATTATATTTTTATTAAATTAGGAAAAAAAACAAGCATTCTCATTAATTTATGTTAAAGAATATTTATTTTTTATCTACAATAATTAAAAACAAAATTAGAATATTTTTATATTTTTAGTTTGATAATTAATTTTTATTAATTTATATAATTTAAAAAAATATTTTTTATATAGAGATGAAGGAGGAGAGATATTTGAATTGAAAGACATTGACTTTCTGGTTACTCGGACTCGTCGCGTTGCAAGTCAGCTCCGCAATTTTTTAACCATTGTCTCCCAACGCCTTTCATATTAAACTACAACTTTTCTGTGTGTCTTTTTCGCATCCACAATTTTCAGAGAGAGAACGTCGCAACTTTTCTTCAAAGAGACGATTTTGGCCTTTTAGGCTCCTTTACATTGATCGCTGTCAAATTAAAGGTATCGTTTTCTCCGTACCTGGGTTGGTTCTTATTCCATCCACCTTTTCTCTATTTCCCACTTCGATCATCAGTGAAGAGAGAGAAAGAGAAAGAAAATGGTCCTGAAGTTTCTTGTTTTTTTGGTTTAGACTTAGATTTGATATGATTCACTTGAAAAGTCAAGTGAGGTGGGGAAGTGTGTGAACAGAGGAAATTGCAAGTCCTAATATAAACTACGATAACCCAATCCCTCCCCTTTCCTTCAGATTTTTTATATATTCCTTCTCTTTCGAAATCTTCAACACTGACAAGGTATGGGTCAATTGTGTGTGCCACATGTTTCCGAAAACCAACATTTTTTTTTTTTTTGCCTTCCATCATTTATCACTGTTTAAGCTCTCACGAAGTTGGGAGGCAGGTTTGAACAAAGGATCAGAAAATATGGGGCTTCTCTTGTCCTCTTCTTTCTAGAGAGAGTGAAGTTAATTAGGAATCATGCATGGCGTTGACAAGCGAACGCCTTTTTGGTTCTGTCTATACTTGTGAAGAATGATAACAAATCCCAATCGTAGCTTTTTGATTTCGAAATCTGCTTTCGAGGTCAAAGCAGTAGTAACACGGACAATTTTGAAACAAACCCGGAAGAAGACGAAGAAGCGGTCAGAGAGAAAACACTCAGATTTTGATATTCAAAGCTTTGGGGAGACAAAGGGTCCTTCCATTTTCTTTTTTTCTTTTTTCTTTCCCATTTTCGTTTATATAATTTTTTATGGGTTTTGAGGGTTTAATTAGGATCAATAGTAGAAACTACAGCTGTGGGAGTGCAAGAGTTGTGGCTGATATTTCTCCACACAATCGCTATATTTCTCCACCTGTTTCCACTGTATGCTTCATCTGATTGATCTCCCTCCCTCTCTCTCCCTCTCTCCGTCTCTCTGTATATCTCGTTATAAATCAGAACTTTGATTGGATTTGTTCTCTTTATTGTTCAATGTTGTTGTTTCTGATGATGATTTGATTCTACAGCAACAGAATATGGATGGCCCTGGTGGTGATATGGGTCTGATTGGGGAATTTGATCATAGTTTGATTGGTAGATTGAGGGATGATGAGTATGAGAGTCGGTCCGGGAGCGATAATTTTGAAGGAATTTCCATTGACGATCAGGATGCTGGTGATGATCAGCCTCAGAGAAGAAAGAAATATCATAGACACACTCCTAATCAAATTCAAGAGCTTGAAGCGTATGCTTTCATGAATTTTCTGCAATTTTATATTCAGAAGTTGGTTAATTTACTTGTGTAATGTTTAAAGTAATGGTGGGTCTTTGCATTGTTTTAGATTTTTCAAGGAGTGTCCTCATCCCGATGAGAAGCAGAGGATGGAACTTAGTAAGAGGCTAAATTTGGAGAATAAACAAGTCAAGTTCTGGTTTCAAAATCGACGAACTCAAATGAAGGTAATTGAATTATGTTGTATATAAAATTGTTATTGTATTATGTGTGGAATTGTTGATAGGATTTGCAAATAGTGTACTGATATGGAATTGTTTCTTGACTTAGACTCAACTGGAACGCCATGAAAATCTAATTCTCAGACAAGAAAACGAGAAACTCCGAGCTGAGAATAGCATGATAAAGGAAGCCATGTCGAACCCGATGTGTAACAGATGTGGTGGCCCAGCCATTCCTGGTCAAATTTCATTTGAGGACCACCATCTCAGAATTGAAAATGCTCGGCTGAAGGATGAATTGAATCGAATATGTGCCTTGGCAAACAAGTTCCTGGGTAGGCCACTCTCATCCTTGGCCAGCCCCACTGCTGTTATGGGTTCAAATTCTGGTCTTGAACTTGCTATAGGAAGGAGCGAAATTGGCAGCTCAAGCACTCTAGGTTCTTCTCTGCCAATGGGGCTTGATTTAGGAGAAGGTGTTTTGGGCACACCTTCTGCAATGCCACGAATTAGATCGCCAATGGGAATGATCGGAGGTGAAATTCAGTTCGATAGGTCTATGCTCATTGATCTTGCACTATCTGCTATGGAGGAATTAATGAAGATGGCTCAGGCAGATAGCTCTCTCTGGATTAAAAGTTTGGGTGGTGAGAAAGAGATACTGGACCATGAAGAGTATGACAGGATAATTTCTCCCTCTATTGGCCCGAAACCGGCTGGTTTTGTAACTGAAGCTACAAAGGAAACCGGGATAGTCATCATTAACAGTTTAGCCCTCGTGGAGACATTGATGGACGCAGTAAGGCCAAATTCACCTTTACTAAATTAATTGATTGAACTTAATGCAATTATTAGTGAAGGGTCAAACTGCATGTTCCCTTTTTCTGACTAGTCAGTTGCATTCTGATACTAGTCTTCTAGTAGAACAATTTGATGATTTGGTCTAGAAATGTTGAAGTTAGTTGAATATATTATTTTAATTGATCACTTGTATCAATAGACCCGGTGGGCGGAGATGTTCCCATCCTTGATTGCTAGAGCTGCCACGGTTGATGTAATATCAAATGGTATGGGTGGAACCAGAAATGGTGCTTTGCAAGTGGTATGTTTTTCTGCCCTATGATTTTTTTACTTGGCCATACATGGCTGGAACTGATAGGATAAATATTTTCTTTGTTAGATGCATGCTGAGGTTCAACTACTTTCGCCACTCGTCCCAGTGCGTCAATTGAGATTTCTCCGGTTTTGCAAGCAGCATACTGAAGGTGTATGGGCTGTAGTTGATGTTTCAATTGAGATTGGCCATGGTGGAATCAACAGCCACCCCTTCATGGCCTGTAGGAGGCTTCCTTCAGGCTGCCTTGTGCAAGATACGCCCAACGGTTATTCTAAGGTGACCGATGCTCGTAATTCCGTTTTTAAATACTCTATTTCTTCATATGGTATCTATCCTTGCTTTCTTGAGAGTACAAGTGAATAAAAAATCGCCGTTGTGACTGATGGGTTGGTTTGATATAACTGATGTTCTAGTTTATCACAGATCTTTAGCCAAGGGTCTAACTAACTAAGCTAGTATTATATTGGAAAAGATGGAATCCATAGTTAAACTATTATATTATAATTTTCTAACTTCGAAGTTTGGGTTGCTGTGTCTGTACTCTAGTTTTCTAGTCTTAATTGGTTTAGAAATATATAATCTGAAGCGACAATTCTGTCTCACATTCTTATAGTATTCATAAGTGCCTGGAAATTAAAAAGAAAAAAAAAAAAGAAAAGAAAAGGTCTTGGGTTCGTCAATCTTTCTATAATAAACATTATAAACTATGTAATTGATGCTTCTTTACCTCCTCTTTGATATTATTGTGTACTTTTTTTTCACTCTGGACAAGGTGACAACGAGCTGGATTCAATAACCTTGTGGTCCTATAATATAATAGTGTCATCTGTGTCATCAGAAGGGGGGGAAAAAAAGAAAAATTCCATAAAACACTAAAATCAAGCTTTTTGACATTAGCTTGTCAAGTGTCAACTTTGTTTGGAACCAATCTTTTTCTTTTTTTAATCAGTTTTTGACCTCTGCTTTAGTTTTTGACTTCACATTTCAATTTCTCAGCCGACTTCTAAGTTGGGATATTAATTTATAGTGAGGCTAGGGTTTAATGGCTGCAGTTTCCAATGTTTTTAAGACTTAAGTGTACGTTCTAATACCATTTATCCTTTATTTAATTAGAATATCTTTTTAGATGAAATAGATATTTTTTTTTAATAACTTAAAACTTTCTTGAAGGTTATACTCATTTTTTCTTTTTAACATTTAAACCATATTGTAATATGTAAGAAATATTAAAAAAATAAAAATAAATTTGCACATGGTCCAAGAGGAGCCGTACTATTCCTGGTTTGTGGATAGTGCGACTCCTTATATATTTTGTATGTTTTTTAAATATTGTGATGATTTTTCAACTGGTATTGCTTTCTATTTGTATAATTTGCATTATGAATTACCATCTCAATGTTTAGTCAAAACTTTGCTTCACTATAGTGACTAGTAGCAATAACTCCATCAAGGGCATGATCTGGTATCAGCTGGTTATTAAGAAAAATTAATGATTGTAGCTGATACACATTTTCATTTACTTCTGTGACTAAAAGATGAACAACTCTCATTCTCATGGAAAATTATTCAGCATTACAATGTATAATAAAAATTTTCATCGGCTTTCATTAACAGTTTAAGCTTGAATTAATTAGTGCGTTAGACATGATATTTCTAGTTTAGGTGATAAGGGTAGGTTGAGGTGTGGGTAGAGACTAATGATTTAAACGTTTCTTATTAAAAAAAAATTCGGATACTTGCCACATGAATTTGTGAATCATACCGAGTGTGTTTGATGCTTTTAATAGAATGGAATAGAAAAGGAAAATGAGAGGAGGAAAAAGATTTTGAAGATGAGAATTGTTTCTCATATCACTGAATAAAAAGGTAATATAGTAAATGACAGTCATTGTTGGATAAGAATAACAAAGATATAATATATGTTTTCTTTTTAATTTCGGGTGTAGTAAAAAAAAAAAAAGGAATATTTGTTATTACACCTAATAAGACCTAAGCTTCAGCATATTGTAAGACTACGTTGTTTTCTCAAAGTTGTACTATTGCAGGTTACATGGGTTGAGCATATGCAATATGATGAAAGTGTTGTTCACCAACTCTATAGGCCATTGCTTAATTCCGGCTTCGGCTTTGGTGCTCATAGGTGGATCGCCACCCTTCAAAGGCAATGTGAATGCTTGGCAATCCTCATGTCCTCTTCTATACCTATTGAGGATCATACAGGTACATATGTAATGCATGTTTCCTTAATTTCTGTTTCTTAACTTTTACAAATTTCTATGGTATGGAAATGTGGGTCAACTTGCCTAGTTGAACTAGTAAACCGTTAAATTAGTGTTTTAATTGGTTTAATGATTGGTCCAGTTTTCAATACCATGTAATTTTTTTCATATCTTTTTACATGTTGCTGACAACAACATATTTTATCAGCTTTAAGCCAAGCTGGTAGGAGAAGCTTGTTGAAGCTGGCACAACGCATGACCAATAACTTCTGTTCTGGGGTTTGTTTATCGTCGGCGCGCAAGTGGGACAGCCTTCACATTGGCACTTTAAGCGATGACGTGAAAGTGATGACCCGGAAGAATGTGGACGACCCCGGTGAGCCCCCTGGGATTGTGCTGAGTGCTGCAACTTCTGTTTGGATCCCGGTGTCCCGGGAAAATCTGTTCAATTTCCTGCGTGATGAACAGCTGAGAAGTGAGTGGGACATTTTGTCGAATGGGGGACCGATGCAGGAGATGGTCCATATTGCTAAAGGTCAAGGATCTGGAAATTGTGTCTCCCTCCTTCGTGCCAGTGTAAGTGCTGCTGTTTTCTGTGTCTCTGTACTATTATTTTCTTTACATGTTGACATTTCATGTGTGAGAAACTGAATTCTGGGCACTCTGTTTTATTGCAGTTTGTCCATACTATTGAGACTTTGTTGACTTAGGTTTCAAACTAGACAAGTAGTAGTAGAAAATGAAAAGGAGTAGAATAGAAAATAAGGGAAAAAAATTATTTTGAAGATAATATTATAAGACATATTTTAAAAAAACAAGGTGTTTTTTAGTTTAATCAATTATATGGTTGAATCCTGATGGATTAGTCCAATTAGTTGGAACAGATTCCTTTTTCTTTTTCTTTTGGGTCAAACCTAGGTTAAGACCATTTTGGGAAGGGATTTAATTAGTTTAAGTTCGAGAATGTTTTTTTTTTTTTATATATTAGAGTAGGTCATTTGTATTTTTTGTTAAAAAAAAATTTGTTGAAATTTATGTAAAGTTATTCTCTATTTTTAGCACACACGTACACACACTCTATAAAGCTTTGATCCATATTCTTCTTCTTCTTCTTTTAAATAATGAAACTAAAGGTTACTTTTTTCACCCGCGCTTACTTTTTAAAAAAGGCTGTATGATTATATAGTATATATGCTTGTATATTTAGGTTAATAGCGATTAATTTAAAATAAGATTAAGTTAACATTTGCATTTTGAAAATTGAAAAAATAGTTGTATGATTTAAATAAAATACACATAAAATTTAAATAATTTAACAATGTAAAATTCAACTTCGTTTTGTTACAGTGAACCTTTACTTGGGAGTGAGGCTTAGCAATAAGAAAACTATCAAGCGCTTTTTTGGTTGCAGGCTGTGAATCCCAACGAGAGTAACATGGTAATTCTGCAAGAGACATGGACTGATCCGTCATGCTCGGTGGTGGTGTACGCACCGGTCGACGTGCAATCCTTGAATGTCGTAATGAGCGGCGGAGACTCCGCCTACGTCGCCCTCTTGCCTTCAGGTTTCGCCATCCTTCCTGACGGCCGTCAAACAAGCTTCACCAGCAGTTTACTCAAAGGTTGCAGCCCCAACGGATCCAGCGACCACCAAGGAAGCCTCCTGACAGTTGGGTTCCAGATTCTGGTGAACAGCCTCCCAACGGCGAAGCTCACGGTGGAGTCTGTTGAGACAGTGAACAACCTCATCTCATGCACCATTCAGAAGATCAAAAGCTCCCTGCGAGTTGCATGATGATTCTTTTGTTGTGTTTTGTGATTTCACTTTTTTGGGTTTATGAAACATGAAGAGATTGATTGAAAGAGAATCAAGATGGTGTAAATGGTAATATAGAGAGATGATAATAGTGAAGGAGGAGGGTCGCGAAAAGGGAGGTTTCGAGTCAAGAACGAACCGCGAAGGAGGGGCTTCGTGAGGGGTTCGGGTATTGACTCGTTGACCTGCGACATTTGGGTCGCGTCTTGTCTTGTGTTGTGCATGAAGAGAATGAAGAATTATTGGTGACGTTGTCTTTTGTTCGTTGTTTTGTTTCCTTTTGTTTGGCCTGACATGTTTTGTTCTTTTCTGTGTCACTATAACAATATAGCGTAGTTCCCTTGTCAACCTTTGGATGTTTCTATTTTTCTGTCTCTGAGCTTTTGTTGTGTAGCTCTTTTGGTTGTCTTACTAGCTGAATGGTTGAATGGTGATCTTGTATGAGAAATAGACGTTGTATTGTTTGGATGAGGGGAGAAAATGGTTGAAAAGAACATGGGGAGGTAATTAAGGGAAGCGAAAAGTGGGTTATTGGCTTTTAATGTGTTTTTTTTAATGTCTTTTTTAAATGTTTTAATTTTTCAATTTCTCTTTTTTTTATTATTGATTTTTATATAAAACAAGAGATATTTTGATATTTTAAAATGGTGGACTTTTGCATTTTTTTAATGACTTTTCAATAATAAAAGGATGTAGTTGTGACATTATTTTTTTAAAAATTATTAAAAAGAATACAAAATTTTATTGTTTTGAAACTTTAAGGTATCAAAATATTTTTTATTTTATTTAAAAGTTAATTATTGAAAAAAAAAGTAAGGAATGGGGCGTCATAAGTTAAATGGTGTTAGAAAAAGATGAAGGGATAATTACATTTAGCTCACACAATGAAATTAATTATTATAACGTTCAATTATTAATTCAGTTGTTATTAAATTTTATAGTAATTAATTTTTTTGTATGAGATTTTAATGTAATTCTTTCAAATATAAATTAGAGACCATCTCTCGAGACAAGTAAGGGGATGAAAAGTTTTTTTTTTCTTTGGAAAATGAATAGAAAAATAGAAAAATGTAAATTGAATAATAATAATAATAATAATTTTCATGCTTGTCTCTTGTTTTAGGATAATTTTTAAAAGTATGTTTTTATTTTAAAATATTTCTATTTTCACTTATGTTTTTTTAAATCACTCAAATCATATATAAGCAACCTAAATACAAAAAAGTGTTATGAAATCATTAAAATACTTTGAAGTTTCATTTTTTTATTGAAATTATTAATTATAATTGGATAATCGTTGATAATTGCAATTTAATTGTCAACCGAATAAATTTAGTAATAACTATTCAACAATAACTGACAACTTTAACATAATAAACAAAGGCCAAAGGAAATAATATTTTAGAATAATTTTGTGATTTCATTATTATTTGTTTAATTTCTTATGTGAATCTGAAAGTGATTTTTCCTATTTTTTTCCCATCCAAACATAGCCTTTTTCTGACAAGGGAAATCAAGCCGCCAATTTTCTGGACCTAACTCTCCAGGGGTTTACAAATTGATTGAAGGGTCCAAGATAATTGTGAGAATTTTCTTTTTAATATTATGAAAAAAGTGTATTTAGAAGATTGTAATTGGAGTCGATTTCTATAAAATGTAAACCCTAAATATGTTTAAATACTGATGACGGGTGAGATGGAATTTGGACTTGCTTGTGCTGGTAAGAATAATATTAAATTGCAGTTGATAGTTAATTTGCAAGTGAGTTGGTTATTGTTTCTTTTTGGAGTACAAGAGAACTAACTAGACAGATGAGCTGTTTTAACTTCGTTGGGACAAGCATGACCATAAATTTGATACTCTTCCTAATAAATTTAATTTGCCAACCAACTCAACTTCTTGCCTCGACATGCTTTAAAGTTTTTTTTCCCCCAATTGTTTTTTTTTTGTCGTATGTGCCATACATAAGCCCCAACCTACCTCCTAAATATGCTAAAAAAAATCTCTTTTAATAAAATATAATTTAAGAATCAATTATTTGTCCAGATATTATAAACATTAAATCAAAACTTTATATATATACAGCTTAATATTTTAGTTTAAAAATAAATATATATACAATCTTGAGTTTAAACCATCATTGAAAGTTTCCTCTATAAATCTTGCTTCAAACCAAAATTGTCAAATTTATGAGTTTAAGTAAACTCATAATATGAATGTAAACTCAGATTGTAAATTTGTAAGATTTTATTTTTAATAATAAATAGTCATTAAATATATATAATTAAATAATTAAAATATAAAATATAACCATAATTTCATTTCAATATATTTCATATGTAAATTATATTAAAATTAAATCTATCTATATTGATAAGTTATCATACTCAACATAGAAATTTTAAAATAAGCAAACTTATTTTTGGTACTTTTTATTTTTTTATTAATATCAGTTTTTGCTTTTTGAGTTTTATTTTTCTTTGAATAAAGTCCTGTGACTTTTATGAACTCTATACATTATATACTTAATTCACTCAACTTAGTAAAAAATGATGAGTTTAGTAAATTTAATTGAGTTTACATCTAGTCTGAATTTATAAGTGAATTAACACAATTATTTATGTTAAAAATGTAAAAAAGATAAATTTAGAGAGTTAACTTATGAGTTTAATGCTATTAGAAAAATCCTATTTAGCGAGGGATAAATAACATACTCCTTTCGGTTTTATTTATAAGATATATTTTAGAAGTAATTTTTGATTTAAAATATATGACACTTCATACTAATTAAACCATTTTTTCAATTTTACCCTTTTCTTGATTAGCGTGAAAGTATTTAATGTAATTGTATTATGATTTAAAATCAAAAATAAAAATAAAAGTACATCTCATTTTTTTATAATATAAAAAAACTAATATTTCTTAAAATGTCATAATGATCAAAACTATCCTATAATAAAAATGGATGAAGTATATCCCTTGCTAAATGGTAATTAGCTGGGGATTCATTGCAAAATACATTCCATTAGCTAATTTTATGGGGATTGATCCCTTGCAAGGGTTCGATCCCTTGCCCATCACATGTGTTGACTCATGCTATGTCACTTGCCATCTTGTGTCACTTCACTCGCCCAATGCTTTGTCACATATTTGATTTGTTTATGTTGAGTCCAATATTTACAATCATTATATGAAAAATTAAATACTCTCTCTGTTAAAAAAATGTAAGATATTTTTAATCAAATTTTATCCCCAATAAAGTAGCCACTTGTCTTTAAATTTATCCTATTTTTTAATATTTATCCCTATTTAATAGGGTGTTTCACCTTAAAAAAAATAAAGTGATCTATTTATTAGGAGTATTTTTTTAAAAAAATTAATGATTACACTTTAAAATACTAAAAATACATTATATTTTTAAACATTCAACTTTTTTAAAAAAATGCTTTACATTTTGTCAACAGAAGGAGTATATGTTATTTAACTACATGCATATATCAAATAATATATTATTACAAATACACATGTATATTATATTATATTATAAATTATTAATATAATATAATAATTTATATTTATATGACTCTTTATATGATATTTTTAAAAAAATATTATTTTTTTATGAAAATGAACTTAAAATAAAACAAATATTAAATATTAAATAATTTTATTATAAATATTTTAGTTAATTTTTTAATTTTATTTTTTTTAAATGAATTTAATTAATTATATAATTAAAAATCATTGCCACACATCATTTTTTATTTTGTAGTTGTTAGCTATGGATTAATCTCTCGATGATTATTTAGTTTTAGTGTGGTATAAAAATATGTTTATAATTTTTTTGCTAATTTTCTTATTTTAGATAGAAATACAAAATCATTCACTAATTTCTTACTAATTTTCTCATTTTAGAGAGGTATAAAAATACTGCATTATTTTCTTTACTAATCATCTTATTTTATAGAGGAATTGATAATCTTATGTTATTTTTTCTTGTTAATTGTAAGCCAAGCAATGAAATTAATATCCTTCACTTATTTTCTTACTACTTTGGCATTTTAGAGATAAATAGACGATCCTTCATTAAATTTTCTTACTACTTCACATTTTAAAGATTATATGATTTTATAAATTAAAAACAAAAAAAATAATAAACAATAAACTTGTAAAATTAACTCAAAAGTTTGACAATAATGCTTCAAGTTCTACCCTAAATGATAAAAATTGAATTTTCTTCTAACCCACCTAAACTAAACCCGGTCAAATCTCACCCTTTTTCCCCCAAAACATGATTTGCTAATATAAAAAGAAGATGCATTTTCATTATTCAATTCGAAAATATCCAGTAATGAACTCGATGATTACAAAAGTCTTCACTCACAACTCACAAGCCAGAAGAATATTATCTTTTGTCGTTACATTTTTACCATATTTGAATATTATACTTTGAACCCCACTTTTCCTTACAAAGCTGCTGAAATTAATTTACTGTAGTGAATGGCACGTGAAGAGAATTAATGTCATTCAATGTCAAGATCTTGCCTAAAGTGATCCTAATCTTTATAATTTTGAATAATCAAGTAATTGATACACACAAGCATGCATGCACACATACATACATTCGCTTTCATTTTTATTTTTTATTTATTGAAGTGAATGGCACGTGAAGAGAATTAATGTCATTCAATGTCAAGATCTTGCCTAACGTGACATTCCTAATCTTTATAATTTTGAATAATCAAGTAATTGATACACACAAGCATGCATGCACATATACATACATTCGCTTTCATTTTTTTTTATTGAAGTGCAGGAGGTACAAATATCCTTGATTTCACAAATATAGCACACGATGATAGGAACTTTGGTACTTTCTAAGTATAATATGACAAAAACTCTCTCATCTGTTTCATTAAATTGAACAGTTGTTACTGTGCTACATAATATATTTGTTGAATGAGTGAACTTTAGCCACACATTAGATCCAAATTCAGGGTAATAAAGTCTGCTAGACATTCATTCTATCCTTGATATGGTGAGTATCCACATTGCAATTATAGGAGTTCTGAACCCTTAAAAATTCATGCTTGATTATAAACAAAAGAAATGATATGTTAAAGGGTAGTTATATGAAAATGCATTTAAGCAATTTCATATGAACCATTGAATTATACGGCCAAGGTGAGAAGAAAAACATGTGTACGATGGTCCAAAAAAAAAATTAATTGCTCCCTTAAAAAATTTTG